AGTTAAACACCACATAATATTACCCACCCTTATGAACTGTTTTCCTAAGACATTAAAAAGAGAAAACTAGGAAACAGACAAATGAAATTAAGGTAGAAAAATGAGCTAAGAAAAAAAAGAAAGAAAGAGAGACAGAGAGAGAGAGAGAGAAAGAAAGAAAGAAAGAAAGAAAGAAAGAAAGAAAGAAAGAAAGAAAAAAGAAAGAAAGAAAAATTTGTAAATGGAAAAACCCACAATGAAACCATAATTTTGTATGGTGGAATGATAAACTTAGCTTATGCTTAAAAACCAGAGATTTCAAAAACATACAGAAATATGGACGAATCTGGGCATGTAGCTTACAGCACTTGCCTAGTGCACAGCACTGGGGAAATGCACAATCTTGTATTGTAGGAGCAGTGCAAATCTAAAATGTTTTTTCATCATCTTCGAATGTAAAAAAAAAAAAAAAAATCTGAATATTCATTCAAAAAACATTACATTACATATTCTGATTTGTCTCGGGCTGGGAACTTCAACAAGCAGATGCTTTTGATTTAGGCCCTATACGACCTGTGCTCAGCAGCATAACTGTCAGGAGCAAGCATTTATTTCACTTCACAGAGCTCAGGGATAAGGAACTGTTTACTGAATCCATTTTACAGCTAATGGTAATGAAGCTTAAAAATGTTTCGAAAGTTGGTCAGAACTAGGCAGTAATGTTGCAAATGCCTTTAGTCCCAGCACACGGAAGGGAGAGGCAGGCGATCTCTGTATGTTTGAGAACAGCCTGATCTAGAACAGCCAAGACAAGAAATCTTGTCTCAAAAAATTAAAAATAAAAATAAAAAAAGAGAAAGAAATAAAGAAGGCAGGCTTTGTCTTACCTGTAATACCAACATTTGGAAGGCTCAGTCCCAAAAAGAAAAAGACCAAAACTTGAGCAGTAAAACAAACCTAATAAAGTGAGAGGCACAGACCCAAACCCCATGTTCTCTACCTTCATTAACAGTCAGCTACCGAAAACGATTAATGGCCTCAAGTACCAACTTCCAAGCAAGTTTCCTGAGACCCTATAGCACAGATGTTGGTGGGGGAGGGGGTACACGACTACACTCTTACTATGTGTAAGAGCACACACACGTGTGGGCAAAATGCAAGTGTGTATGTATAGAGGCCCGGAGTTGACACCCTCAAGCTCCACCACATACTAAAGCAGGGTCCCTCACTGAACTATGAGCTGAATGAGTCTACTTGCTCTAAGAACCCCCTTTTCTGCTTCTGGAGTGCTGGAACAGATGTTAATTTTATAACAAAAAATGGTCTTCCTAGCCCATCAAGCCTTTGCCATTATAGCATTATCTACTGTGGACCCCAAGCTAGGGAAGAATTTACAAAGTGGCATGCTAATGGCAAACATTCTGGCTCAAACACTGCTGTAGACAAAGTCACACTGGATATTCAAGAAACTGAGCCAGCTTTTTCAAAGTGAAAAAAAATTGGCTGGGCCTGGTAACCTGTAAACTTAAGAATCCTGCTGCTGGGGAGGCTGAGGCAGGAGGAGCTATGAAAATGACAACAGAAAAGAAAAACAATTAAGTCTCTTTGATCCTTTACACATGACTATCCCCAAAAAAAGAAAGATACATCAAAATCCACATTCAAATAAGGGAGATGCTGCATAAGAAAAGAGTTTGTCATTTTCTAAAACTACAGCACATGTGGTAGAAAATGCAAATGTGTTCAAGAGAGCTCAAAGTAGTCCTTTCCTGAGCCACAGCAGTTTTTTAAGAAATTAATCTTGCAAGGCATGGCTTCCCTGACTCAATCATAACACATACACGTAGCCTTTCTAGGTCAAGGAGCAGTAATTCCTAAGATAAGTCCTCTCAGATCTGTCACTTACACACAGGCTCAGTATCACTAACTGCAATACTCATTCGCAGTTCTTGCCCGTCCCTCCCAGGACAGTTGGAGAATATAGGGTTGGAAGGGGTTTGTTTTTTTTTTTTTTTTTTTTTTTTTTTTGGTTGTTTTAGACCAAGGCAGTATGAAACAAAAAGCATTTGGTTAGTACCGACTCAGAACTTCTCTACCCATTGAGAAATCTAATTCCAAAAACCTCATGAAACCCCTCCTTATAGTGTGTTTTTACTTCTGATGAGGACAGCTCTATCCAAAACAAGGACGAATTTCACATGTTGTTTAGTTCTAAGTAGAAACTATCACTTGGGGTACATCTAAGTCTCTTTGTTTTTAGCCTGTTTCTATTTTTTTTTTCACTCTCCACATTTGGTCTTAGAGAACTAACTAACAGGAAAGATAAGGGTTGTCACAAAAGCTTCCAAAATGTGTTTAGAGAATATTTTTAACATATTTTTCTTTGGTGGGGGGGGGGTGCTAAGACGGCATTCTCAAGTAGCTCATGCTGGCCTGGAACTCCTTATGTGAAGCTAGGAACAACCTTGAACTCCTGACCCTCCTGCCTCCACTACAAGAAGCAGAGAAAAATTTTAAGTTTTGAGGTGGGGGAAAAAAAACAAACAGGTGAGTGTTTGGGGGAGTAGCCCAGTGGTAGAAAGCCTGTAGCTTGTATAGCATGAATTATGCTCCAGCTTTCATTCCAAGAACCTCACACAGAAGAGGATAAAAAGAAAACATACCAAAAAGGCTATTATTGATAACAGCTGACCGAAATTACCTTTTGGCTATAGGGCACATATTTCCCTTTCTGAAATGAGGTAGAGCATTACCTTTACAGTTCAAGGGAGATAAAATTTCAAAAGAAACTATTATGAAATACTAAACAGAGCCAGGCGCAGTGGCACACGCCTAGCACTCTGGGAGGCAGAGGCAGGTGGAGTTCGAGGCCAGCCTGGTCTACAAAGTGAGTCCAGGACAGCCCAGGCCACACAGAGAAACCTTGTCTCAAGAAACCAAAAGAAAAAGAAAAAAGAAAAGAAAGGAAGAAAGGAAATACTAAACAAGCAGGCTGAAATGGCAAAAGCCTTTAAGCCTAGGGCTCAAGCGGTGAGTTCCAGGCCAGCCACAGGTTTACAGAGCCAGCTCCAGACCAGACGGAGCTACAGTCTTAAGGAGATAAAAAATAAAAACAGAATTACTAAACAAAGCACCAAGGGATCACTAGTTTGTAATGTCCTAGCATGTGCAAGTCCCTCTACGGAGCTGGGGCTAATAAATAACCATAACCTTGGCTTGCTGATGGCTGGCTTCTGATCCAAGAGCTCTGCTCACACAAGGAGGGAAGGAATTTCTAATTACTGAATCTAGACAGAAGTGAGTGACATGATCACTTTCAAATATACACATTTTAAATTCAGATTATAAACCTAAAGGTTAAAGTTAACAGTTACAACGCAGGACAGGATGGTGACAAAACATACAATCCCACCACAATGGAGCCTGAAAAAGAACTGCCAGTTGAGTGACCAACCTAGCCACCTTGCCTCAAAAGAATAAGGTGCTACATATAAATCATGATTTAACCTGATCTATGCAACAACCAGAAGTTTTAACTTTTTTTTCCTTTTTTACATATCTGCTGGCATTCCTTCACTAAATTTCACATGAACTAAGAAATAGCACCAAGGCAATGATATTAAAAAAAAAAAAAAGAGCTCAGTCCAGCACACAGCACTCCATCCAAGAGCTACAGCCACTATTCTACACACAATTAATGAAAATTCCAAGCTTCAAACTTTAAGTCACTGCTAAAAAATAACAAGGAATGCCAGCACTGCAATTTACCAGGAAGCAGCACTGCTTTAATTAGTAAGATATTTTCCAGAAATAAATGTCAAGCACTCTCAAACAAGCAAGTTACCACATACTATAGTAACAGTCTAACCTGGGGCTACAGACGTAGCTCAGTGGTAGAGTATTTGCCTACGATTCAAAACAGCCTTTCCCGGCACTGCAAAAAAAATACACAACAAACATGTTTCCATTTGAAAAGCACTTCCTTGAAGGAAATGTATTTCCAAGTCACACATAAAAATCATTTTGAATCCACTATTTCCTATATACTTAGCCAATAGGAGCGCCTTAAATTTCAAAGCCTTTTGTCTTAACAAGTTTCTTCCCCAAAACATATGGGTTCCTTTAATCTGCTCAGAACCCTTCTGGCAAGAACCGAAACTAAAACTCTTGAAAGCCCCAAGTGTCAGGATCTGCGTTGGGACCTAGACACTACTTGTGTTTTAATTATATTAAGAAATAATTGAGCAAAAAATTAAATTAATAAACCTTGTATAAATCCCACAATGTATTGAAGTCATCAAAGTGAGGCAGACGACTTGGATAATCCAAATAAATGTTACTGCACAAATCTAAAACAAGCCTAGCCGTTAAGAAATACTAATTTGTTTTGTTTTGTTTTTGTGTTTGTTTGTTTGCAAGGAAAAAGAAAATTCATCTTTTAATTCCTAAAGGTGTACACTGCAAAAACTAAATACAATCACAACAAGTAAATTCTGGGTACCGGGAATCATAACTTGCCAGAGTTTTGTGTGTTTTGTTGTTTTATCCTAGATCTTTGGGGTATTTCTTCTAAGAACTGTCTTTAAATACACTGACTCAGGAAACTATTGCCAGGCCACTGCTCACTCTAACCTAGGGCACTAATTCTTCTAAGACTTTACAAATTTAGCAACAGCGACTCAAGCCTTCAAATAACGCCCAGAATAGCGTTCCCTAGCATCCTGGCGTGGGCAGCGGGTCCGCGGTCATCCCGCTTCGGAACGGAGTTCTCCCGGGGCTGGCTCGGAGGATGTGGGAAGATCCCAGGCTGGATAAGGCAGGGATGGGAGGAAGCGCCGGGAGGGAGGGCTGCGCCGTGAGGACCGCGGGAGGCGGCTGGCTGCGGGGTCTGGGAGGCAGAGGAAGGAGCCCTCGGGCTCGGCCGGGCCGCGGCAGCCGTCCGCCCCGGAGCCCGGCCCGGGGCCGGGCGGGCATCGCTGACGCGGCGGCGGGGAGGAAACGCGGCGGCCGCCCGGCCTCACCTGCAGGGTCACCTCGCGGGGGTCCCAGCGCGGCCGCAGGTGCCGCAGCAGGCTGAGGGCGCCGTCGCGGCAGCGCTGCTCCTCCTGGTCCTGCACCGTCACGTCGAGCTTGGGCACCTCGGGCGAGCCGGGCGGGACGTGGATGTAATTGGCCATGGCCCAGGCGACGGCGGACACGACCACGACGACCACGGCGACGGCGACCACGAGCGCGGCGGGCGCCGGCAGGCTGCTGGACCCTTCCGTGCCGGGGCGCCCTCGGCGGAGGGCTGCGGCCGCTCGGACGGACGGGCGGGCGGCGGGGGGCGGCGGGGCGGCCGGACGGGGTGCGCAGCGCAGCGACTCGGAGGCTCGGCCGCTCTCGGGAAGATGCCTCAGTGAGCTCGACCGCGGGCGGCCGCGGAGCATGCCGGGACTGGCCTGACGCTGGCGTCACGCCGGGGGCGGGGCCTCGGCTGCGTCAGGAGGCCGGCGGGTGGCGAACCCCGCGGCACAATGGGCGGGCCGCGGGGCTCACGGGGACTGGGGTCTCGGGGAGCGCGCACCGCCAGGCGCTCCCGCTGCTGGGGAGCTGCCCGGGCTCCTGCCCGCGAAGGAGGCCGAGTGGTGCCGAGCCCTGCCGGAGCTCTAACGAGCCTTGCCGAACTCTGCCGAGCCCTGCCGGGGCTCTAACGAGCTTTGCCCGAACCCTGCCGGAGACCTACCGAATTCTGCCGAGCCCCGCCGGAGCACTGTCGAGCTTTGCCGAGCCCTTTCGGGCCTCTACCCAGCCCTGCCAGGCGTTAATAAAGCGTCACCTCCCTAGGTTATTAGGCTCTGCTTACTTAGGGCTGAGGTTTTAGGGGACGCAGGAGGCACGTCCTGAAAGAAATCTAAATTAGGCGGTGAGCTTGGCCGGACTGCGGATTAATTTGGTCGTCATGTACTCGGAACCCACATTCTTGGTTTAGCAACCAAATCACCATTGGCGCTAAGTAGAGAGCACACTATTTGGGACAACTAGGTAAAATAAGAGTAAACTGAGGGCGGTGGTGTGATAACATACACCTGTTATCCTAGCTCTCGGGCAGCTAAAGCAGGAGCGTGGCCACGAGTTCGAACCCAGCCTGGACTACCGGGTCTACCGGGGCTACTTAGTTGCCCGCAGTCGATAATAGGGTACGACGACAGCAACACTTATTTTAAGGGCCAGGTGCTTGACCTTGCTGAGAGCTATTCTAACATGGACTGCAGGCGGGTCCAGTCACAGCGGCCCTGGGATTCGCGGGACTGCTGGAAAGGCTCTGCTCTGTCAGAGGAATAGTGGAAACCCATCATCTGCAAGTACTGGGTCAGCCCGTAACGGCTTTCCTTTTATGACGGAGACAATGGTGGCAAGTTTCACCTCGGCTCTGGCTTCTCTGGGGATTGAGGACGAAGAGAACACATTTGTTAGTGTTCGGTACCCTGCACGCACGCGCTCCCCCCCCCCCCCCACACACACACACACACGAAAACGAAAAAAAGTATTACAGGAAACACTAGGTTATGTATTCCATCTAGTTGAGAATAAAATGACAGGACACACCAATGCTTCCATGTTTTAAGTAGTAACTCTTTATTAAACCGTGACATTTTAAGGATTATATGGAATATTTTATAACTAAAACATCTAACAGCAAATTAAGTTAAAAGTAAAACTTTTAAAAAGCATACAAAAAGTCAGGCATGGTGGCACAAACCTGTAATCCCAGTACTTGGCAACGTAGAGGGATCAGGAGCCCAAAGCCAATCTCCGCTATGTAGAGAGACTATAGAAGACCCTATTTAAAAAAAAAAAAAAAAAAAACAGTTTTTAATTTTCTCTCTCTCTTGTTCTTTTTGTTTGTTTGTTTGCTTGTTGTTTGTTTTTGTTTTTTGAGGCAGGGTTTCTCCGTATAGCCGAGGTTGTCCTGAAACTCACTTTGTAGACCAGGTTGGCCTGGAAGTCAGAGATCCATCTGCCTCTGTCTCCCAAGTGCTGGGATTGAACACAACACGCCCTGCCCAGTGACAGTGGTGCATGCCTGTAATCCCTGTACTTTTGAGCCAGAGGCAGGTGGATCTCTGAGTTTGAGGCCAGCCTGGTCTACAGAATGAGCTCCAGGACAGCCAAGGCTGCACAAAGAAACCCTGGAAACCCTGTCTCAAATAGATAGATAGATAGATAGATAGATAGATAGATAGATAGATAGATAGATAGATAGATAGACAGACAGACCATGCCCAGGCTTTTAAAATAAAATAAAAAGAATCTTATTATGTATCTGTTGCTGACCCAAAGTTGCTCTTTAGATCAGGCTAGCCTTGAACTCAGATATCCTGCCTGCCTCACAACTGACTCCAGCTCCAGGTGATCTGATGTCTTTTCTGCCTCTATGGGCATTACAGTTATGTCCACAGACATATACAAACACATGTAATTAATGCATGGTAGTGGTAGCACATGCCTTTAATCTCAGCACTTGGGAGGCAGAGCCAGGCAGATCTATGAGTTCAAGGACAGCCTGGCCTACAGATCGAGTTCCAGGACACCTAGGGCACAGAGAAACCCTATCTTGAAAACTGAAAAATAAATAAATAAATAAATAAATACACATAATTTAAAAATATCTTTTTTAAAATGAAATAATTGCACAATTAAATGCAAAGATAAGAGACCAATAGTCAAAGGAATATTAAAGAAAAAAAGTTAAAAAGAGAACACAGCTATAAGATTTTCTTTATGGTAATAGTAACCCTGAGAGTATGGTATAATTAAATGAATAAAGAAAATAAAACCAGAGTGGAGAAATAGACCCTTCTGATTCAGATAACTGATAATAGACGAAAGGAAAAGGTGCTTAACAGAGAAAGGGTAATCTTTCCAAGAACCAGTGATGGACAGCTGGACTTCGCACTGCAGAAGGCCAACCTGACAACCTTTCCACACATTAACTGACCGCATCGTAAATCTAAAGATGAAGCACAAGGCAAGACCTATACCAGGGCGTAAGACCTCGGGTCGATCCCAGAATATAGGTGTGTGCACCAGTGTTTGTCCGTGTGTGTGCATTTGTGTGTGCACGCCTATGGATGGGCAGGTGAGTCCACATGTGTGGGCACACGCATGCGCCTGTATGTGCCCTTAGATAGTAACAGAGCATAAAAATCAAGATACGTTTCAGATTCGGGATTAACAGTGACATTTACATGCAAGGGATCAAAACCGGAATCCATGAAAAAAACTATTAATCAAAAGCACAACTTACAGGGCTGGAGAGAAGGCTTAGCAGTTAAGAGCACTGACTGCTCTTCCAGAGGACCTGGGTTCAGTTCCCAGCACCCACATGGCAGCTCACAACTGTCTATAATTCTAGCTCCAATGGCTCTGACACCCTCACACCAACATGCATAAAATAAAAATTAAATTAATAAAACCACAATTTACGAGAGAAAATGTGTTAAGTTGTACTTCATTACAACTGAAAACTTTTACCCTACAGATCTCCTTAAGATGATGAAAAGACAGATTAATAGAAAAGATGTGCAAAACATACATCTAGTGGGAGACTTTTCTCCAAAACACATTGAGCACCCTTAAAACTCTGTAGAGGGCTGGGAATGGGCTGTAGTGATAGAGCATATACCTAGCATACATATATGTGGGGTCAGGGATTTAAGTCTCAGATTCCCAGCTAACTCCAGAGGAAAACAAACTCATCCCCCCAATTCATATATATATAATTGCCACACTAACTCCAGAGTCTATGTGAGCATAAAAATGTTCTATATAAGCATAAAATTATGCTGCTAAGGTGAGGAGACACATTTCCTACAGGAATCCGCTCCCTGGAAGTCACTGGATGTTCCCCCTGGCCATCTATGCCAAAAAGATGTACTCTGAAAATTCTGCTTTCTCAGATGAAGGATTGAATTAATGAGCCTTTTGATTTTTCTCTATGATTCCTGGTACAGCACAACTAACTATTCAATGAAATATATTTTGATAGATTATTAAAAGCTTTAATAAAAATAAAATGGAAGCAAAATAATTTTAAAAGAGGTAATGAATCAGATTTAGTATCAGAAAGCATTATAAGAATAGAAAAAGAAATAATGGGCTCCTTCTTAGGAAAAAATACCATAAGCAAGTACAGCAGGCTTGAGCATGCCTCCTTTTAGCGTCTTGTTTCTAAGGAAGATTATAAATCTTTAGCAAGACATATGGGAGGATGGTTGACCAAGGTGTATTTAGACTTTAATGTAGAAAAAGACTTTGGCAGGTATTTGACTTGGCTCGGAGGACTATTACAGCTCCTGACTTTCCCCTTCACTAGTCAGTGATAATGAAACCACAGATTGAGGTTTTTGTTTCTTGTTTGCGTTGATCAGAAAGTTTCTAGGCCAAGATTTCTTGTGGGCATTGATTTACGCTTAGCTGCACTTTCGAGTTAAAACATAAACTTTGTATCCTTGGTAAAAGTTTGAATGTTCTGGAAAGCATGCCAACTTTAAGGTGCTTCCTCATGAAATCACTATAAAATTATTAGCCTGACTTCAGTAAAATTACAGCAGGGTCAAAGCCATCTCGGTGTTGTCTCTGTCTGTCAACTCGCCTGAAACTTTGCGTTCCTGATATCCAAAAACCCTGATTCTCCCACGGACGCAGGGAACCCGACCGGGCTGGTCCCTGGCTATATTAATATATATAATATAATATATATTATATATATTATATATATATATTATATATTATATATATATAAAATCTTTCTTTCTTTCTCAGTCTGAGGAAGATTTCTCACTATGCAGCCCCAACTGGCCTGGAATTCACCAGGTAGGCCAAACTAACATGGAACTCACAGAGACCCACCTGCCTTTGGCTCCTAAGTGCTGAGGTTAAAGCCATGTGATACCACAGCCAGGAAAACCTCATTCTTTAGAATGTTCAGGTGAGCAAACACTTACCAAGAAGATACACAGACGGCCAGCAAGCAGCTCCTGAGAACACATGCAGCTTCCGAAGTCACTAAGGACTGTGACTTTAAAGGACAACGGGACACAGATAAAAGTCAAAAGACTGAGAACAGCAAATGCTGGCGGAGTGGAAGCATGTGTCCACCAACAGCAAGATGCCCTCAGCTATGCTCTTTGCTACTTCCCTGGAAGAGTCGGAAAATTACGTCCACATAAGCTAAGTATGAATGTTTATAGAGCCCAGATGCATTACTTGGAAAGCAACCAAGATGTCCATCAATGAACGAATTTTTTTTAATTGTGCTACAACCATGAAATAAAACTGTCAGTTGGCAAACTTTTATTTCTAGTCAGC